GTTTCCTAATAACTATATCAAGTATCAGTTTTTAAATTTAAAACTACAGCTAAAGAGATTAAAGTCCCACCAGCCACTCTCAGGTACTCAGCAGCCACGTGTAGCTCATGGCACCTCATTGGACACACAGCGCAGGCATGGAAATGAACCATCCTCAGCTGCATACAACACCTTGACCTTACAAACAGGATGCTGAGTGAAAGAAATGACATAGGAAATAACATGTGTACTATATCATTTATATAATGTTCAAGGAGAGGTAAAATGAATCTCTGATGTTGAAGGCTGATATTTGATCGATAAAACTACACTTTAAAAACAAGAAAATTGCTGGGCTCGGTGGCTCAGCCTGTAATCCTGCACCTTTGGGAGGCTGAGGTGAGTGGATTGCCTGAGCCCGCAGGTTCGAGACTCACCTGGGCAACGTGGCGAGACCTCATCTCTACAGTAAATAATTTTAAAAAATGAGCCCGGCATTGTAGCGCGCACCTGTAGTTCCAGCTACTTGGAAGGCTGAGGTGGAAGGATCGCCGGAGCCCAGCAGGTCAAGGCTGCGGTGGCTGGAAGCGGCCACTGCACTCCAGTCTGGGCAACAGAGTGAGACTCCAACTCAAAAAAATAAAATAAAATAATAAAAAAATAAAAAGAAGAAAATTGGCCAGGCATGGTGACGTGTGCTTGTAATCTCAGCACTTTGAGGAGCTGAGGTGGTAGGATCACCTGAGCCCAGGAGTTGGAGGCTGCAATGAGCTATGATTGCACCCTACCCTGAGTGACAGAGTGAGATCCCATCTCTATAATAAATAATACAGCAAGAAAATTACTATAAAAGTCAAAATAGCGGGCTAGGGGTGGTAGCTCACACCTGTAATTCCAGCACTTTGGGAGGCCAAGGCAGGAGGATCACTTGAGGCCAGGAGTTTGAGACCAGCCTGGGCAACAAAGCCAGTCGCTTGAATCCAGGAGTTCAGGCTGCATTGAGCTTGATTGTGCCACTACATTCTAGCCTGGACAGCAGAGTGAACCCTGTCTCTTAAAAAACAATAATAAGCCCGGGCTCGGTGGCTCAGCCTGTAATCCCAGCGCTTTGGGAGGCTGAGGTGAGTGGATTGCCTGAGCCTGCGGGTTCGAGACCTGCCTGGGCACCTTGGCGAGACCTCATCTCTACAATAAATCAAAAAATGAGCAGGGCATGGTAGCGCATGCCTGTAGTTCCAGCTACTTGGAAGGCTGAGGCAGAAGGATCGCCGGAGCCCTGCAGGTCGAGGCTGTGGTGGCCAGGAGTGGCAACTGCACTCCAGTCTGGGTGACGGAGTGAGACTCCAACTCAAAAACAAAACAAAACAAAACAAAAATAATAAAAGCGGTTACAGCAGGGTCAGAGAGAGGGCAGTGATGGGAGGGGCATACTGGGGGCTTCTTGGCTGCAGTGAGCTATGATTGTGCCACTGCATTCTGGCCTGGACAGCAGAGTGAACCCTGTCTTTTAAAAAAGTAGTAATAAAAGCGGTTATAGTGGGGTCAGAGAGAGGGCAGTGATGGGAGGGGCACGCTGGGGGCTTTTTGGATGCTAGCAGTGATCTTTCTTGACCTGATGTTACAGAGGTCTCTGCTTTATCTTTATTAAGCAGGACACTTACTTTATGTCTGCTTTATGCACATTGTAGTTCTCCAAAAAAAATTTTTTTTTTTTTTGAGTTGGAGTCTCACTCTGTCGCCCAGACTGGAGTGCAGTGGCCTCTCCCGGCCACCGCAGCCTCACCTGCTGGGCTCTGGTGATCCTTCTGCCTCAGCCTTCCGAGTAGCCGGAATTACAGGCACGCGCTACCACGCCCGGCTAATTTTTTGATTTTATTGTAGAGATGAGGTCTCGCCGGCCCAGGCGGGTCTCGAACCCGCGGGC